AAAACCTGAAAGGATATAACACCAGAAAAGACAAGAGCCAGGCTTGCAAGAAAGAAGATGAAAGGTTATGTTTAAATCCAGAAGACCTTTTTCATCCGCACTTTCTGCACATAATTCGGCTTATCTCTTTACATGCAACAGGAAAATGTTGGCTAAATTTGGATTATAGTGGAACTGTCACACAGTAATTGTAGTCATGTTCCTCACTAACCACTTACGCAACGCAATTCTGCCTACAGTTATAATACTAAAGTGGAATTATAAAAATCCTATGAAGCCGAATACTTTGAGAATGAATGTCATGCCTGTAAGTCCTGACATTTTATAGAAGAAAAAACATACTGTATGGATTTAGACAAGGATTTGCATAGGTGTTTTCTGATGTCTCCAGATGACTAAGTTAGAGAGCCAAATTTATTCATTGTTAATTTGAGGACTTAATTTAGGACTTTTTCCTGATTGATTTTTAAAGCTGGCTCCTCAGTCGTTGTCTGCAGACAGATATCATTAAATGACCTTGGCATAACTACACAACATTCTCCAGTGAAAGCTGAGTGTCTTCTACCACTCTGGAAAATGGGTACCACATTATACTAGCCAGCCCTTTGACAAAACAAATCGGGTTAAAATAGAACTCAGTTGCTAAAATTCATGTATAAGTAGAACAATTAATCTTTGAAGATATCAGACTTGTTGTGTTCTTTGGTGCTCAGGCCACAGTTTCTGAAAACTTGACTGTTGATTTTCATTGTTAAATTACAGCCCAAGCTGCTATATAGGGAATCTAGAAGACACCGATCTCAAAGCATAACCTTTTTGTTTACTTACAGCTTCACGGTGAATACTGAGATTAATGGCAGCTCCTTATTTAATGACTCTGGTAGATTAATTCCTTCTCCTAATTTAAGATGAAGACAAATATGATCTCCCTGGCTTGCCCACAAATGATTGACTTAACTGGTATCAATGTGAGACCTGAAAACGTCTCATAGGCCGTATTTTTAAAATGTATTGAGACATTGTTTGCAAATCTATTTTCAGCTTCTGTTAATTATTTTGTAAATTGTTACAAATGTAAAACTACACAGTTACACAGTTTAAGTGTATTTATTACTTGTGCAGTCTGTATTACCTTTGTGCATATCTACTGAAATATTTTTAAAAGTTCTCACCATGAAAGAGTGTTATATAAAATGAAATAGAGATATTCATGAAATAATAAATATCTCATTCAATAACAGTAAGTAAAATTTAAAATAGCTGCACTCTTCATTTGTGAAGGTCTAAGCAGTGTGTTTAGAGAATGTTGTAAGACAGGTTTTATGCCTCAGAATTTAGTTCTTAACATTTGCATGTTCAGACATCATCTACAATTAGGATCAGTATCCAGTATTGGATCACTGGATATTCTGCAGACCATAGCTCCTGAACCTCTATCTCATTCTTAGAAGCAGAAAGATAATCCCTGTGATTTATAGTGGTCTAATTCTTTTCTGCATCCCTCCAGGTGACAATGCCTAGCATGTAATAGTAATCAATATGACCACATTCATCGACTTCAGACTGGGATCCATCTCAGGTCTATAGCGGGTGGCTGTGCTCTGTCTCTGAAGCTGATTTATAATCCTCAGTTTAGAAGAGCTGAGTATGAGCCCCAGGGCCCATCACACTCGCCCGTTCAATTCCCTGCCACAACATAACTTATAACTCCAGGCTCAGACAAACAGCCTTCGGGTCGCTGCAACATGCCTACGCTTTTTGAAAATGAAGACTATAGTGTACATACTGTACATTTAATATACAGAACACTGATTTTTTTTGAGGGTCCAGTAAAAATGAAGAAAGATTAAAGGATTCTTGTCTTAAATGATTAGTATTTCTCCTGTCTGTGACAAAGAAACGGCAAAAACAACAAAGAGATACACAAAATAGTTTAATTTGTCAAGCCTGCATCTAAGTTGCAATACAAAGACCATATCTAGTCAAATATTTGTGTTCGTGGTACATATTGATAATTTGATGGAACTAGTATTACCAACCATGGCAATAAAATAAATAATTTCACATTCCCAACACAGCAAATGCAGCACTGGCCCAACCAGAATTTGATCACAGCAGCTCACAGGCACCCCTGGCTTCACAGCCACACAGTACCACGTCCCAAGGAGAGACTTACACCACAGTATGTCAAAGGAACCCCTCCAGTAGAAATTAGAAGTTACCTAATGAACCCAGTGCATGTTTTCAGAATGAACAGTGAAACACGAACCACAGGACACAAGTGAAAACTATATCAAAGTGCATTTAAAGCCAAAAAGAGGAAGCTCTTCTTTACACAGAATGTTGTGGATGAAAACAGCCATGTTGCTGAAGCTGATACCCTGGCTTCTTTCAAGAAAGAGTTAAATAAGATCCTTCAATTAGCTATTAACTACCAAACAGGCTAAATGGTTAGAATGACCTCCTTCATTTGTAACATTTATGTTCCTCTTTCATGTTCTGTAACAAGCTTAGTGCCAAAATAAGCCATGTCACAACAGCATTGCAGTTTAACCTCAGTTTTATATTGTTACACTGTAGATCTTTTCTGTAGCTTTTGTTAAACCAAATTTAGCAATCAAGGATTGCTAAATTTCAAAGAATCAAGGATTCTTTATGAACAAAGGTTCAAATTTCTTCTACACTGTATAAATATCACCTCTGTGCTAAAAAGGGGAAAGTTCAAAGGTGAGATTACAGATAATTTATTCAAAACAGGAACACTGTCAGAACCTTTCCTCCTGGTCCTGCTGTAACGATGTGGCTCAAGGTCTCGAAATTACAGATGGTGCTGCTTCAGCCTCAATTCAATAAAGCACTTGTGTGGTGTCGAGGATTGGGACATTAAAGCTACTAACTAAAAGTTTGTGGGTTCAAATCTTGGTTAAAATACAGCTGTTGTGCCCTTGAGCAAGGTACACCGCTCTAGTAAAATGCCCAGAATTATAAATGAGTAGGAATATGTTACTTTGGATAAAGGCATCAACTAAATTGTTTTTTTTCTGTGGAGAGCATTGAAATTCTGCTGCAGTATTTTTATGATACAGTTTTACAACCTCTGCATAACACAGGGTGAAGTAATTAAATATTTAACAGTCATCTTTCATCAAAAAGCCATTAATTCCGGGTAAAGGTCATAGGGACACAGAATATAACCCGTTAGCATAGAGCTCAAGGCAGGACAACATATTAAATATTAAAAATAAATGTAAGAATACTCTTAAAATCCAAATGCTTCATTACTGAGATCTCTAAAAATAACGGTTATGGTGATGTGTGTTTTTATTTCTTCAAAACGAAAACAACCGGTTAGTTGTAAATTGAAGTGCTCCAGCAATTCATTAAACAAGATGATAGAGCAATTAACCCAAAATATTAATGAATCCATAATTTGTATATTCTGCTTTCTGGGTTCTGCTTGATGCACTAAATTGTTTTCTTTTAAGGCACAGCAATTCAACAATATTCAACGCTAATGACCACCATGGGATGTGAAATGATAAATGAAGTGAAAAGATATTTTAGACTGAAAATATGGAAATAACTGTTGAATACAGAGCCTCGGTGCTCTGAGTATACTTTGTTTCATCACAGCCATTTGAAATTGTAATCTATTAGCTTCTCTGTGTATCCATAACTGTAATGAGTGGACAAAGTATTAAGCAAAGAGGAAGAATGCTCAGACCTTCCATGCTGAGAATGAGACATTCTCCTTAGAAACATGGGGGTATTTTAAAAAGTGAAAAAAAAAACAGAATGTGTGATTTCTTATGTGCAAGAAGCAAACCTGGATACCAAGATTTGTGGTCAATCTCAAGAATGGAATAGTATGAAGGCACTTTAATATGGTCTTTGAAGTGCAGACTGCAAGCAGTACAAAAGCTTTTATTCTTTTATAGTTAGAAATAATGGAAATACAGGCATTTTTTCATCAATACATCACACTTGTTAAAGTTTCTAGTAAACGTAATGCAACCACCACCTTGCTTTTAACTGCTGTAGACCAAGCATGACTTTTGACTACTGCCACATTTTAAGTATTTAAGTGTTTGGCCCTGAAAATTCAGTTCATTTTATTCTGATATTGTCACAATCTGCATTCACAGCCTTATCATTAATGTCATGTGACCCATCCTGTCTTGGAGTTTTTAAGAAAACACTGTCTCAAAAGATGACATTATGAAAGACGCCACTTAATATGTACACCAAAATCACAGTACAAAAAACTACAAATTTGAGTATGCAATACTATCCACCGTATTTGTAGTCACCTGGTGTGAAAGAGCCCTACACTGCCCAGATTGGGGAGGGTGTGGGGGCACACATAACACTGTTCCTATAGCAGCATCCTGATCCCTGTTACTCAAGGAATACCAGCATTTGAGATTCACTTCATACTATGGGCATGGGCGATATGTAATACAGCACATCCCTTTTAGATAACTGTTTAACTCAAAATATTTTGCTGTTAATTTTAGCAAACTATATTAAAATAGGGAAACATTAACCCCTGCAATCCCACTGTCTCTTGCTAGCTGACATTAGTACAGAGCAAAACAAAATTGACAGGTAACACAAAAGAAATGTGCAGAGCAATAAAAAGTAGACATTATCCCATACACATGAACGTCACATGAACCACAACTCGCAGTCTTATTTGGTGTGTCACCTCACAGTTTTTGCCTTTTAGTGGCCAGTCGCTCCTCTCTCTACTGAGTTATCTCACTCCCTCAGGTGCCAATTGTCCAATTAAGCCCAATGCCCCATTTTTATTTTGGTTATTCTCTTTAATAGGTGTTTGAAAACAAAGGCACCAGTCACTGCCTCAAATATGGTGGCTATAGTGGGATTTGAGCCCACAACTGTAGCTCAGACATCTAAAGATTGCAAAGGCATTTTGGCTTTTTGGGGAAGGTCCCTGAAGCAGACCTCCCTGGTATATTAGGAAAGCTGGGTCCTACCTGGCAAAGAAGGATGCAGCGGCGGACGTTCCGCTGGATGGGACGCTGGAAACAAAGGTGTTCTGGGAGCCTGAAAAGCTGTAGAGTGAAGGCCTGTCTGCATTATAGCGGTTCAGGGCAGCTTCTGTCAGGCCTTCCCGGCAGGTCTCAGTCATCAGCTGAGAAATCTGCAAACAACAGCAACGCAAATCTGTGAGGCAGTCATTGTGTTGATGCTGAAACTTTACATACCAGAACACTGGAAAGAAACAATGAGCATCCCCTACGTTTATAAAACAGCCCCCTTAAAAATGGCAGGCCAGACCATTCAAATAGATCATTCTCAATAAGCTACACTTTAAATTGTTATTATGTTATCACTTTTCATGATATTGTATTCTTCATTCTTTTGATTATTTGACTTTACTAGTTCATATGACAGAATGGGGCGGCCCCAGACTTTTTACATGTTTATAAATCAATTAAGAACAATCAATAAATCAAGACACCATTTCAGAATGATTCATTCTACCAGAGCGTGTGTTGTGACTTTGTACAGCAGACTAATATCTGTCGGGCGCCACTAGTTAGGAACACTAAACATTTTTTTTCTGACCTTAAATGGCATTAATCCCAGAACACCTATTGTGAAAGGCTCTAAATCCCAGGGCATTAATCTCTGGCACAGCCTTTTCTATGAAGGCTGCTTTACCTCCTTTTCCTAAAACCAAATAAAGACAAAGAAATGAGAAAGACTAAACAGAGGGCAATCTTCTTTCACAAGCTCCCGAACATTTTTAATGGAAAGCAGGTTTAAGGCAAAATGTAAAAAAGATAGAAAGCTAAAACTGAGCCATACGAGTTGGCCTGCGGCCTGAACTCATACCCCTTTGTGAGACAAGCTGCATCAGTCTCCTCTGAGCCGATTTCAATTTCATGCCCCTTGTGCCAGTGTGAGCTCCAGTGAATCTGTGTCTTGCATTGTTGTGTATGTGTGTATGGAAAAGAAAGTTCCAGTGTCCTTCTGGTATTAATCAATCAGCAGAGATCCTACACAGGAAAGAATGGTGTCCTCTTCTGAGAGACAATATCTAGGACTTGAAACAAGAAGTTCTGTAAAAGAAATGAAGTACAGCATAAAGATTTTTCTCTAGCATTTTTCTTTAAAAAGTTAGGATTCTTCCAGTTTCCATCTAAAGTTTTAATCCACCATAGTCCTGTTTCTAAAACGCAAACTTCAACTTATCAAGAGAACTAGGTGTGGCATGTGTGCACCTAAAAGTATCTGCTTATCAACAGGGAAGACATCACACATAGAATTTACCATAAGCAGTCATCAGATGACATAAGCTGAAAGAAAACAAACAACGAATATCAGGGAGACATATTTTTCAGCAGTACCACACTCTCCCAAATGGAGCTCCCAGAGGATATACAACTGACGTCTAGCACAGCAATTGCTTCCCAGCATGACTAAACCTGCGACACCTGGCTATGTTTGAACAAAATAAGCTCTTGGGAAAGACAAAAAAAAAATCCACTAAAGAGAAAACAAATAACTGGGTGGAAGTGTCTAAGGGATTTTGACATTTTCAGCTGCAACCACTCTCTGGCATATTTTATCTCTCAAGAGAAGCCCAGGGTCAAGGATGCACTGCTTTAATGGCTGCCAGTTCTGGTCCACAAGACGAGAATGCTAATAGTTGACAAATATCACATGCACCAATTTCATTACCTCTTCCTTTTAATCTGGGGTTTCATCACTGCCCCAATAAATAGCTATCTTTTCTGAGCAGCAGCATACTGTAGGTTGCAAAGAAATACAGGCATGGCAAAGAATGGGGGAGTGTTTAGGAGCACACTAAGGGAGGAAAGTACTAAAGCCTGCTTGAGCACTCTTTGCTGCTATGGTAGGCCACAACTGTAGGTGTGCCAAAATCTACACGTTGCTTTCTCAAAGCTTATTTAAAATGCATATTGCAGGAAGGCCTGTTGAGATTTCGAGGCTCGTTTTCAGGGCTGTCCCCAGGGGCACACAGCTGCAGAGAGCAGAAAAGGGAAATGTCTTTATGACCACTTGCCTCATTTGATGCAGTGTAGGGGTGTGCCCCTGTTTCCCCTCAAGCAGTCAATGACAGGAGAAAACTACCACTTAGAACTCCAATGGATTCCTGTCATTTCCATTTCAACTTCTCAAAGACTTTGATTTATACGATCATGCTATCTTCTGCGTCCTAGAAGGTAAAACCTACTGTGCCAAAGCACCAAGACAAATGGAAGCCATAGTGAAATTAAATGTTATATTGATATATTGATATTTTCATATTCCACGAAGGAGTGGAACAGTTCCAGACCATAATGGATAACACAACCTTCTAAGATCACAATACAATTTACAAAAGAGAGAATAAAACTATAATTTTGAATTGGTAGCTATTTGTTCCAGTCATTTCTTGAAAGACGTTGGGGTATAAACGTCAATAACATTACTTGATATCTTGTTCCATATAACCATAAAACCTCTTTGTAAATACCAAGTGCCTTATGTTTGCAGATTTAAATGCCATCTACCAATAGGTAGATTCTCTTAATGTGGAAGGATCACAATGAAACACATATTATAGAAGGCTGTAACAGATTGTCTGTCTCCCACCCAAAGTAGTGTTTATATAACTGTTAATTTAATGGGACCCATAGGAGAATAAACTGTTTACTCTGCATTTCCTGTGCATTCTCTCTGTCCGATAAGAACTACCGTATCTGTGTATCATTTTATCAGATTTTACAAACATGCAATGGTACTTCAACTCAAAGCTACCTACTATATTGAAGACAGACCTACAGTCATACGGTTTGCTCCAAGACCAAACCGAACGTGGCAAACTGCACACAACCCTTTTTGAAGGAGCAGCTGATATAACTGATGATATCCAGTCTCATGCTGTGGCTAATGAATGTGGCTGTTAGCGGATCTTTACAATAATAAAAAAGGTGTGCTAAGCCCAGCTGTCAGCCTCAGGTGGAGGTAATGAGCACTGAAAAATGTAATGTGCATAAAGACACAAAGAACAGGCTTCCCTCCCACTGAGGGGACACCCATTTTCTTGCAAATGAGGGAAATGACCTTTTAAAAGCACAAAAAGAATGGGCGTCCTAGCACCTACTGTAGTCATTGAGGTATATAGATTAGACGATATGTAGGGTGACACCATTTCTTTGTGCCAAAAAAGGGTTTCAGTGTCGATAGATGTCTGCTGCAAGCAAAAGGTTCAGGAAATCAGGCAATTTTGTATTACATTAACCTGTAGGATAAAAGACTTTGAGTCAGTAATTACAGTCTTTCAGTCTACAGTTCCAACTAGTTGCATAGAGGTTATTTTAATTATACATCTTTTTTTTTAATAATTGCAAGACATGGAACAGGGAAGGTATATGCTGTAAATAAACCTTGAAAATAATTTGTGCATTGCATAAATTATGTCTTTTAAACAAATCACGAACATAATTAAAGTAGAAAATACATCTCTTCCAGAGAGAACCTGCTAAAAACACTTAAATGATACAATAGTTTTTCAGTGATGGATCAGTGAAAAAAAAAAAACTACAATAAAACAAAGCAACTAATATTATTCAGAGTTATATCTAACTTCAGGTCATTTTATGTTTTAACATCATAGTTTCACATACAACATTTTTAAACGTTCCCAAATACAACCGGGATTCTGGCACATAAAACTGCTAAAGTTGATTATCGACAATATCGGACTTGGAAAAATATCCTCGTAACTTGAGAAGAATTCAATAAGGCTAGAAAAGACATAAATACAACTCAAATGGGGCTGAAGGGTTTAGGGGGGAATGTGTCTTAGGAGCATAGCACCCCATTTTCAGCATTCAGAGACCCCATCCTGAGTCCTACATGCCAGGAGGGGGATCCATCAATGCAACAGTGCCAATTAGATGAGCACAGCACCCAGAAAGGCATCTGCCATCTGAATGAAATGTACAAATGAAAGGGAGACATTGAATTTTAATTGAATCACTTGCACAGTTCCTTCTCGAACCATCTCTGTCACACAGCCCTCCGTTTTTTAAGGCTCCCCTGACATCCACTTTTGACTAGCCATTTCAGCGTCAGTTCAAGTAACGAGCAATGAGCTTTTCCACAGCCACACTGAAACTCCTAAAATTGTATTGCACATCCCCTATACAGCCTGTTTCCTGGTCTACACACATCAGTTGATCAGGTAGGTGTCCTGGCTAGAGTGAGGAATCTTATAAGTTGTTAATGACAGCAAAACATGACAGAAAATAGTGGTTAAGTCTGAGCTAAAATAACACCTCTTTTGCAATCTGTGTCAGTTACCAGTTTCCTTGGCACTGGGTCTCTTGGCAGTGAACTCTAAGGGAGAGATTTGTCAGGGACAGTAAATCAGCCGGGCAGGAAATGAAAACATGTTAATTGCTTGCATTAGGCAATGAATATGTATGTATACTGAATATCAAAAGAAACATATCACTCAATTTATGAGTGTTTTTTTTCCAGAATAATAGAGAATGTGTAATTTGGATGTTGATTAAATGTTCTTTATTGGTTCTGTTCATAACTGACAGAGAGACAACCAAATGCATAAGCCACACAGTATGTCACTTCATTACTGAGAGAGATTGGGCACTGGTGCTGAGGTGATTTATCCTGCTGGATGTCAAGTCCAGTGAAAATCAAGAAAAAGAAGAGACCCCCAGCGGCGCTGCCCACCTTGATGAAGGTAAGCGACTGTGGTGCAGATGCACAACAGCCCAATCAATGGGGAGTTCCAGATGTGACGGTTTAGACAGGAGTGCCACATGAAGTGATTGATGGCAACCAGACTGCATGGAGCTGCAGGAATGAAGTCCTGGGACCTGAGCTGCTGCCCTCCCTGAAGGCTCACCCTGACATGACAACATCCCAGCGGGACAACACACACCCACATGCTGCTTGCTTCTGTAATCGTGCTTTCCCATGAGATGAGAATGCAACAGTTATGCTTTGTACTACAGTAACTCCCATGGTGCTCACATTCAATTAATGTGATACTTTCACATCAGACTCCCTGCTAATCGAACCTGTTGATTACAAATGTTTATTAGTATAATGAATTCACTTGTTACGTCTGTCCAATGTAAATGGAAAACAGATTGTCGT